GTTTGCAAAGCAAACATTTGCAAAATAGTGAGCATTCAGCACGCACGCACACACACACACACACACACACACACACACACACACACACATGTTTGTGTTGCTATCTTTGTGGGGACATTCCATTGACTTCCATTCATTTCTACAGCCTAAACCTTACCTTTACCCTTTTCCTAACCCTAACCATCACATACCTAACCCTAACCAAAACTCAATTCATACCTTAGCCCTAACTCTGACCCCTGACCCAAAAACAGGGTTTCCCCTTGTGGGGACCAGGCTCCGGTCCCCACAAGGAGCAATTGGTCCCCACAACGTAGTATATGTCAGGAAAATCGTCCCCATAAGGTATTACAAACAAATGCACACACACACATGCACACACAACCCTCCTAATTCTTTGTAAGAACCAGTTTTTCTGTAATTACAGCCAAAGGTAATCTTTCCTGTCATAACTATGTACATTAACTGAGTCTAATTGTTGCTGGATACTGCTCACTCTAATTGCTCCATTTGCACAAAATATTTAAATATATTCTTAGATGACACTGTTTAATTTCATAGAAATATACATTGTTTATATATATTTTCTTCATATTGTTAATATTACTATTATTTATGTTTAGCATGCTATGTTTTCTGTTTTCTGTATATTGTGCTGCTGCCCGATAACTTCCCAATTCTGGGATTAGGAAAGCGCATCCTAACTTAGCTTATGTTAGATTAGCTGAATTCATTTTGAGATTCGTCTCTGTTAGCTGTTTACAGCTAGAGACTGAAATGTTTTGTGAACATGCCACACATTCTCAACTGGATTTGACTGGAACATGCTAATACATATTTGTTTTCTCTAAACCTTTCACTTGTAGCTTTGGCTGTTCATTGGCTTCTTGTCCGGCTGGAAGCTGAAGCTCCGCTCCGTTCTCCTGACTTGTTCAGCCTCCACCTGGTTTTCTTCCAGGATTGTCCTGGATGTGGCTCCTCCTGTCGCCTCTGACTGCCATGTTTCACGATTGAAATGGTCTTCAGGGTAATGTGCAGTACGTTTTCTTTAGTCCAAAGATTAAAATTTTGTTTTTCTATGATTTGTTTTCAGTACATGGCTTCTGGCAACATGGAGTGAAAGTCGGAACAAAACAGTGCATTTGTATTTATTGATGATGGAATCATTGGCGGAGGATATGCAGGTGTCCAGGGAGACAGAAATGCAGAAAACCAGAAGTGCTAAAAAAGAAATAGCATACACAACCGTTAGCAAAATCAGCGAAAAACAGATTATCCTATCACCTCAAAAATCTTTTTTTTTCTTTCTTTTTTTAATCTTGTTGCAGTGAGGATTAAATTGGAGGTTTTCCACCTCAATCGCACGCCGTTGTTATGAACGATGCCCTCTGGTGCCTGAGGGCCGATGTTCAGCTTGTAGCTGCTCTTAAAAGGGAATTAGAAATGAGCTAAATCAACTTGATCCCTGAAACCCGAGGATCTGAGCAAAGGGCCCCATCTATGTTTCAACAGGCTCACCTCGACTGTCATGGCAGCACAGCAGCGCCGCGGGGCCACTTTGTACGACACACACCACCAACCCTTTGTTTAGAGGGATCTCCAGCTGGATCCTGCGTCACCTCCTTGTGGGCTTTACAGGATTGTTGTGGGGAGACGGACTGAGGCGGTGAGCTGGGTCCCGGCCCTGCTCCACCTGTCAACTGGAAGCAATCGTTTCCAGCCCCTCTAACAATCGCTGGAGCGTCAATCCTTCAGATCCTTTTTCCTACAATAACTTGTTTTATCCTCTTATCTTTCTCCCACCTCAAGACACAAAGTCCAGATAGAAGTAAGTCCCCCTGCATCTGATGAAAGCCTTTCAAAACAACTCTTTGTGTTTTTTTTATTTACTCTTCATTGTGCTGCTCAAAGCTAATATGCTGCTTTCTCTCCAAACAAATAGTCCTTTAAATTAGACCCATTAAAAATACCGAAATATATTTACTGAAGACAATGTTGCACTTAATTGTGAATCTAATTTATGTTTATTATTCTGTTTGTTATGAGTGCGCTTCCTTTCTGTTTTAAAGCGTTGCTCTTGTGCTTTGTTCAAGCAGCAGACAAACATTTTAATTCCACCGAGGCACTCAATTGATGTTTGATTTTTCTTGTCGGTCTTATTTGTGTGCTAATAGGAAGGGGAGTCATCTGAACGTCGTAACGCATTCCTGATGCACAAAAAACTTCGTTTGATCACCAAAATGAGTCTGGTGGTTTGTAGTCCCTTGTGGAAATCGTTCATAACTCTTGAAACCTAAAAACCTTTTCACAGGTTTTTAGGTTGTTAAAATAACACAAGTAAGGGAAAAATTAACACTAGAAGTGTTTTGAAGCCAAATGGACTTGCATTGTTTCATGCTTTAAGTGTTTTGCCACAGTTAGAGCCTTTTGAAAACAGTCACTTATATTTTTTCTGCAGTGCAGCTACATTAAGACAGAATCTTTCATATTAGGAAACTAAATTACCCATTTGCTTTTTTAAAAAAATTTGTGACATTTTTTTTCCTTACCCATTTTTATGGTGCCCCCTGGACTACTGGCGCCCTGAGCATTTGCCTATACTGCCTATGCCACAGGGTAACCAAAGCCATCAGTAGTTGTTTTGATACTATAATTCAAAATAAAATTTTCCCCCTGAGATTGAACGAGCTGATATTAATTTTCACTAATTGCTGATTGACTTCAGCTGGTGTCATGACTTCCCGTGTCTTCAGTGTCATTCCAGTTTATCAGTCATTATGGGCTAACTGGGCTATTACCGACATATTGTGAACATTTTCATGTTAGCTGGACATTTACAAATTGGGTTTAATACGTTTACTTTTGAAAGCAATGTAATTATCTTTTAGACCTGAAATATGTTCTCCTAAACCTTGGGACATATAGAGTTCAACTTAAAATCACTAGCTAAGGTTGTCATGTGACGCCACAGTAAAATGTCAGCTAACATCTTATTCGAAGACTCTATTTTCTGATAATAATGCTGTCGAAGAGGGAACAATATCTCCACACCTTTTTATTCCCAAGGTATAAAAAAAATGTGAGACAGGTGACAGAAATGTCACAGGTTATCTTGTCGCAGTGAAACCTGCGGGGTACTTTTTATATCACGCGTTAAAGTAATTTTCTCTGTTTCTTCTTTTTCGGTTTAAAGCTCAATAGTACAGGCACACATGCTTCACCTCAAGCAACCCCACATGTAGCCTCCTGTGTCTGACTGAAACCAACACCGGAAACAGATGTTTCTAAACCAGGCTGGATGCGGTCCAGGACCCAACATGGTACGTTAAATCCACGCTGCCCGCAGACGGCTGCATCTGGACGAGGCTTCATGATGGCTGCTGTAAACACACACTCACATGTGGCCTCAGATCCGGAGACAAGCGAATGACTGTCTCATTGTGCCTGTGATGAAACCGAGTGGTTTGTTTGGAGGAGTGCTGGGATTAATTAGTATTTTAATTATAATCTGGAAGTCTTTTTCTTTTTTTTTTTAGTTCTGCGTTTTACCACTAGGGAGCACTGTGCTCAGAGCAACGCTTAATGAGGTGCAGCAGGTGTCTCTTCTTGTTTAATAAAAATGAAAGTGTAGCCTAAACCGACACTCGCATGCCAGCCTTGATTGTGTGTCATGGTGTGTGTTTTTTAAGTCAGGTGCAGCTGGCAAACCGAAGCCTAAAACATAGTATCCTGCTGTTAAAAGAAAGAGAGAAAGAAAGAAAGAAAATGAAATCATTTCGAGTTGACTTTTCATTCAGTAATTCAAGTGCCAGGCAGTTTTCATGCTCGGTCCTGTCACAACTACCGATGACGTGAACTCTCCAATAACTCGATCCTCCACACCAAGAAGGGGGGAAAATGGCGAGCAGCCTTACAGAAGACATAATTACACACTACTGGGATGCAGAAAATGAAAAGAGGGGTGGATTGGGCTGTAGTGTCAGCAGAAGTAGGAACAGCTGCATCTAGTGGAGTAAATCCATTTCCAAGCTCGGAGGGAGTCCAGGACTTGAAGCTAAGGCTGTCAATCCGTACAGCAGCACTCACAGGGGGCTCCAAGTTCGCTTTTCTCCTGGTGGCACGGAACAAAGCCTGTCCAAGTAATTTTAAACAAGTTGAATTAAATACTTCTTAATACTTTTTAAATACCACTCTGAATTAAATTCAAGACTTTTCAGTCTTGAATTCAGATATATTCAGATATAAATATACAAAAAACGAACGTCGCCCAGCGAACTGGAGATAAATTTACACCAACATGGCTAGCTAGTTAGCAAGCGTAGCTAGTTAGCGGTAGCCTTGTGAGTCCTTTGGAGTAATTTTTTATGATGATGTTTGAACTCCTTTCTATGACTTATTTGGGCTAATTTGCGACGTCGTAGTATACTGTTTCATTTGGACTCGTTCTTGACGTCATGCTATAATATTTCTCCTTTGAACTCATTTCGGACATCATGCTAGACGCTAGCTCCTTTGGGCTAATTTTTTACGTCGTACTGTACTATTTGTGTTTGGACTCTTGTTATACCATGGCTCACTTAGCCTCATTTTTTACGTTTTGTTTGGACTAATTTTTGACGTAATGCCTCACTTGATATAATTTTCGACGTCATGTTATTCCATGGCCCGTTTGTTGTCAAACGACACATACTATGCAGCATTTTCAGGGCTGCCTCAGTGGCCACCTTCATGGACTCTCATTGAGTGCACAACTTAAAAACGCAGTTTACAGATCATATTAGTGGAATGTTGAGTGGTAAAAAAAAAAAAAATGTAGTTGCTAAAGAAAAACTACAAAACCGGACACCAGAGCAAACAATGCAGATTAGCTTCCTTAACACCTCAGCAGAGTCACAGGCTGATAGCCTCCATCCCATAATGGATTCAACATCCCATAATTGTTGAATCTAACTTCTGATTGATATTTTAAATCATTACAACACAATAAGTCAATGATCAGAGTCCAGCAGCACGGTAGTGTTTTATTGCTCAGCTGCTTTATTGTCACAGAAGGAAAAGGTTCTGCTAACAACTGTCAGTATTTTAACTAAAGTTATGTTTAAACATGACTTACCCTTCCACTCACACTAATAATCTTCCACGTTAGTTTGCAAGCTAGCAGCCAAGTTAAAGTCCTGTTTATCTTTTCTGCCACCGATTTATCACCAGTTATCAACCCTCTAAGCTGCAGTTTGGATGCTGTTGTGCAAACAAAAGCAAAGAGTCCTTTCACACACATAAGATGTGTAATGATATATAAAAAAAATAACTACTTTAAACTGTTTCAGATGAAATAAGCAAGAACAGGGAGTTAATATTTATACAGAGTATACAGTCTAAGTGACATGTTTACTCCAAGACTGAAGGGATTTACAGAAGACTTTACAACGATATCAAACTCCATGTGTTGGTTAATGTTAATGGAACATGGAGGGGAGTGTTAACGTGGAGCTCTAGCTGGCCTCCTGGGTCTCGGCCGGCTTGGTTTCCTCATTCGAGAGGCCGTCTGCTCCGTATTTGTTCTGTAGTGAACGTCCCAAAAACTGCCAGTACTCCTTACGAATGGTGTCCTTCTCCTGGGCCAGAAGCTCACAGATCTTACCGGGAAGACAAACATGAAACGGATGAAAAATGAATCCACTGCAGCTTAAGAAATTGATTAAATAAACAAAAAGTGCTAATTTCTCAAAGTATCAACAACTGCTCACCTCCAGAGCCTTTTTTAGCGTCTCCTTATGTTCCTGCTCCAGATTTTCCTTTTGGAAGCTGGACTCCAAAGCGTCTTCATAGCAATCGAAGAGGAAAGCGAGGAGGTAGGGCGAGCAGTGCGTCTCTTTCAGCTCCAGGACCTTTTCCAGCAGGCCCGGTTGAGACGAGAGGCCTCTGTCCTGCAGCATCCTGATGGGAACAAAAAAAGGTGGAAAAATATAAAATAAAAAAATAGAAGAAACGCCGCCTCAAAGCCTCTACATTTTTAATAACTGAATCGCGACCATGGCCGCGGCCTCCTGGCGCAAGTTTAAACATTCCTGTCCTCCACACTGAAAGGGACCGATTCATTCTTAAACCGGAGAAAACCAGAAAAAAAAAAAAAAAAGAACTTCCCTTTCAGGGTTTCCAAGAAGTTAAATCTAACGTATGCGTGTCTCACTTCTCACCCTTTCAAATAATTCCAGGCGCTCTCGTTGTGAGGAGCCTTCCTGATCTGGTTCAGACAATACCTGACACAAAGAAGAAAGCATTAAAATGAATGAAACCTGAAAGAAACACTGCATGCATTATTTGACAGCAAATACCAGGAATTTCTTTGATTTTTCAAACAGGAAGACATGTTAACCATTTTCAAAGTATTAGATTTCCTATAAAAAATTTTATAGGTCAGATTTCCTATAAAACAGACTAAACTCAGGCTGCTTTGTTTTGAAGTGTAATGCTGCTTTGCAGCTTTAAAATTGGTTTTAGCTGATCAAAGGTAAAAATTGTTCCTAAGCTCTCTGTGAATCGTCACATAAAATCCTCAAATAAATCAGGTCCTACAGGATTTTACTATTTTTGTGATGTTTTTTACCCCAGTAAAATTCATTAACTCATTATGTTGCTACTTTACAAATATTTGCACTAATCTGTGACAGTAAATGTTACTTTCTGTTATTCGCCATGTTGTCACAAACTTCACATCAAGTAAGGCCGAGGCAACAGAGTGGTAGAAGTAAGAAATACTGCCACCTGCAGGCCAGAGTTAGTCACTTAAACTATAACAATTTCTCTGGAAAATTTGGAATTCAATTAATCTGTTGATTTTACACAAGAAACTGTATAACATATTAAAGTTTGTTTTTGGAGTATGGATACTTTTCAAGGAACTATTTATTAAAAGAAAATAAAAATATATATTTTTAAAACCCTTACTGTATCTCTCTCTGCACGATGGCCGGGTCAGAGAAGCCCGTGGTGTGAGAAATGACAAAGTGCCTCTGGTTCCACGCCGAGTTGTTCCGCACGTCTTCATCTAGAAGACTCTCCACAAAGTCCAGCTCGTTGTCCCACAGCTTGTACTCCTGAAGGTCAAACACAAAGAGACGCCGTCAGATCCTTGTTTTTCTTTAACAGAAAGAAAAACAAGAGTGGAGAAAAGATTCCCTCTGAGGGTTTGTGAGGCGAAGGAAGCGCCACCGACCTGGATGACCCACTGCCTGTGTTGCCAGGCATGGTAGTTCTTGGCATCCTGGCTGAGGATGTCTGCGATGAACTGCAGCTCCGCTGAGGGGTCGTTCAGCCACTCCACCACCATGCGCCTGTGATGCCTGGACAGGAAGTCAGGAAATACGCAAATACTGGGTCATAATGACTCCTGATTTCTATAAAATTATTAATTTTCCAATAATTCTGGGTTTCTTCATCCCTTGTTAGTCCTTTTATGTCACTGCAACAACAAAAAAATCCAAATGAACTCAAAATATGAACCTCAATTCTAAAAATCAAGATGAAGTAAAAATAAAAAAGATGTATAGAGAAAGCCCACGTTTTGACTCTAGTTTTTACATTTTTAAATCGCTGCGATAGAGATTGTGATTAGAAATGCACCGATATGAACATTTGGTATATTTGGTATACACGATGTTGAAATCCGATTTTAATACTGCTGTGATGGCCGATAACCGATATCATACAAAGTTTCTCTACCGTTTTGACACATCTGCAAAGAAAACAAGCAGAAACAAATGGCAACAAGATAAAAACAAATACTGGCGTTAACCAATTTATCGGACCAATACCGATACGTTAAAAAAATGACAAATGTTGGATACCGATACCGATGTTAGTGATATTATGCGAGACTTATTGTGATCAGTGGAAACACGACTCACCAGACTTGGTAGTTCTTGGGCTGCTCCTCGATGATGTTGGTGATGTATTTCATCTCCTCCCTCAGGTCCTTAGACAGAGCTTGGAGCAGAACTCGCCTGTAGTGCCTGAACAGGAGCAGATCCAGGGTTACATCGCACCACAACCTCACAACGGAACCCAAACATTACACAGTTTGAGCCCAAACTCTAATCTGTTGGGTTTTCCCTAAACATTTTAAATATTTGAGTGCAAAGCGTTTAGTTTTATCACCTGTACATTTGATGACTGAACACACTGCTGAAGCTGGATTTTGATTGGGTAGTGGTCTTAAAGGCCCGTTTCACTATTTTTGGCATCTTAACTAACACAAATCAATTCTGTTTCAAAAATAATTAAAACCAATCTCAAATGAAAAGTGTATTAACTTCCAAACACAGAATATTTAGTGCATTTATGAGGTTTGGAAATATCCATAATAAAAACCAGCTTGAAGGTTCAATATCTAGAGTCTGGAGGGCCACATAACTTCAGGCGGGCCTCAATTTTAACACCAGTATGTAAAGCCAGTTGAAAATTGTCCACTTTAAAACTCTGAGGAGGTGGAAACCTCTGTGGCCCTTCACCCCCCCCAAAAAAACAAATAAACTTTACACTGTGTTTCTCTCATTTTAAGCTCAATTGCTTTTATTCACTTTTTTATACTGCCGTCGTCTCACAAGAGTGACGCTCACCACACTGTGTAGTTTGCTGCGTTCAGGTCGATGGCGTCGGCTGTCAGAGCGAAAGCCCTCTCGCTCCTTTCGTCCTTCTTTAGGAGCGCGCGGAAATAGTCATAAACATCAGCAACTGTTGGATAAAACACACGGTAATGAGTGGCACGACGTTCATATCTGATTACGTTCAGTTTCCAAAACGAAAACACAGAAAGCGTCTTGTCACACTGCAAAAATGTTTCCCAGCTATTCGTTTGAGGTTGATTTCAATGAGTTAGAATGTCACTGTAAAGTTTCAGTTCAAGTAATTTCATTCAAAATGTGAAACTCATGTAGGTTTTTATTTATATTAATTTTTAGGATTATAGCAAGCAAATGATTAAAAAAGGTCAAATAAGAATATTGAAATGAACAATAAAAAAATATGGGTGGTAAATCAATTTTAATGATTAAATAAATCTTTGTTTTTGAGCACGTAATTTTTGAAAAAATATAAAAATACATACCAACGCACTCTAGTGTTTCCACAGTTCAGAGTGACGTCAGCCCACCTAAAAACTACTATTCTGTTTGACAAGCGGGTTTTATAGCTTTTATTTATTTTAACTTTGAATTCAGATCAACTTCCAAAAGCATTGATTGACATAAAAGTCCGTTTTTTAAAATAGATATTTTCAGTCACCTATGATTTTTTTTCCGGAAAAAGTGGTGTGGGGGGGAGGGGGGGGAAAATCCATCAAAATCGGAAATCAAATTTTGAATAAATAAATCAAATCTAAGAACCTCCATTCTCCGCTAATTATTTATTGCAAATACTGTACAATGCTTGGACATACTTTCTACTGTAAATAATAATAGTAATCTGTTATATAACAAGAGTTTCACTTTTTGAATAACTCAATGTTTTGATGATACTCTAATCTGCTGAGATGCGCTCCTGTGGTATCCTAGCAACCGCCTTACACTTGTCAGAGTAGGCGATCTTCACTACGGGATTTGGTCCGTCGTCTTGCGGAACAGGCTCCAGATCAGCCCACTCCTTCCGGTCTCTGAAAGATAAAAACACAGCACTGATCCAACTGCATACCTCAAATACCTCCGGACACCAGCTTACCACAACTTTGAAAACTAAAGGAGGGCTACTAACAAAACTAGATTGACCTTCAGCGTAAACTGTCATTTCTTTTATTACGGTGATGATTATTTGAGCATAAATAGAGACAGAAATTCCAAAGCAAAGCTGTTATATTAGCCTGAACCGAGTTAATTATTGTTACCTTGTGATAAATGACCATTATCATACTAAAATTATTATCACTATGACACTTGAAACACATTCAGCCTTATTAATATGGAAAAAGTGGCGTCTCGAGAAACTTGTAAGAAACGCCTCCTTGCTAATGGAGTAGCTACTGAGGCTAGGTTAGCCAGCGACAAGACGGAAAAAGTACCTGTAAAAAATGTATCGGGTTGAGTCGGCGCCATAACTGTCCCCGAAGTGGTCCCCGACATCTACATCCAGCTCTTTCTGCTCTTTAACCCCCAGGGGTTCACTGGAGGGCTCCTCAACAGTTGACATGGCTAACTTCTAGCTTTGTCTCAGCCAGAGCGCTGCTTCTGCAGGAAGGAAGACGCAACTTCCGGTGCCTCCGTGAACGGTGGGAAATATTAGTTTCCTCCTAACCAGCAGTAAGAAAGAAAGGGTGAAAATCCACATGTGCAACCGCATTTTAATAAAATCGTGTCTAATTGTTTCTCATAATTTCACAACCACTCACTTTTAAAGCGAAACACTTTCATCACAACTTTCAGACTGTTTGACAGAAAATCAATTAAAGCAGCTCACTCAGCAGGTTGACTGGCAGATTTATTTCACGGTGGTTGTAGATGCAAAATTAAAATAGGTGCTCCAATCCAACTATCCTATTTTCTGTGATTATAAAACTGAAGATATTTTTATATGGGCTCAAACAAACTTCAATTGAAATAATGAAATCTTTCTGCTCTGTTGTTGAAAATTATGAAATCTGTACTTCCAGCATCTGGCCTGTTGACAATATCTGTGGTGTCACTTCAATATCAAAAATCCTTCTCTCTCATAAAATAATCTAATTTTCTGAGGAACTAAATTTTGAGATTTTAAATTAGCTGTACTTGAAATATAGACATGTATGTAATGCCTAAAAAAATCTCACTTTGTAATTTAGTGAGATGTTTTATTAGGCAAGTTGTACTTTTTTTAATTGTCTGGGACATTTTAAAACGTATCCATTATAAAAACTTTTTTTTAAAAAAAAATCTTATAAATTAAAACCATTTTAAAAGTTCAGTGGTGGTATTAAGGAAGTGTTGGGGAGCGGGGGAGAACTGTTCACAAGTTGATAAAATATGATTTAATATATGGTACGACCCTTCTGGTGAACCATATTTATCCCTAGCTTAGCCAGGTTCTAACAACGTCGTGTACTAGGCGCATTTAAACGCATCATGAGGTTGCCAGGAACTCTTGTTTTGAAAAGCAAAGGCGTGACAGCGGGGCAGAACTGGAAACTTTAAATCAGCGAAGTTAAAGACACCCGAAGAAGCACAACCGTAACTGTAGACGTCATAACAATAACTTATGTTTATCCAGGCATTCAAAAGACATTTTTAGATTGTGATAAACTTGTTCTGAATAAGTTTATCACAACATTTAGATATATATATATAAAAAAAAGAAAGCTCACACACCTTATGTTTCAAATAATGTCTTGAAAGCAAGGTCAAGCTGAACTTTATTTTCATCGACAACTCTGACATTATAAAAATAAATAGATGATTTACAGTCAGTGGATTGTTATACAAACCGTTATCAAAATTATGTCTCGGCCAGGATGAAGAATTAAACACATGCATAAAATCACCATTCAATGAATGTATACATGTTCGAATACTTTGTTGCCATTATTTGCGGATAACAAAACCAGTTTTTCGTTGTTGTTTTTTTTTCCAGCTCGACAGGGTTGATAGAAAATAAAAATCACTTTTCAAAAGTAGTCAGCAGGACAGCTTGAAGATGCCTCACTCCGACCAGTTTCCAACGATCCGACGTTTTGTTCAGTGGCTGTCTTCCGGGTCCAGTCCGTGCTTCTCGATGTAACGTCTGCAGAAGACCACTACTGGTTAGAGAAATTAATCTCGCACAAACAAATGTCGTAGGCGTTATGGTTTGCTGTCTGCATACGGAGGTTTAAATCCGCTCTTCGTCAGCATGAATGTATTTTAAGTGATTCGTTTCAATTGTTCCTTTTTTCCAGGCGTGAACAATGATTCAACATCTTCAATTAAAATTTAAAAAAAGCATTAGGTTTTAATTTACTGTGTTTTCCCCCCCTCTATATTTTCATAAAGCATGTGGTTGTGGTACAATTTGCATTTAGATATGTGTTAGAAGAAACTGTCTAAATGTGAAGCAGCATTCAGTTTTTATGCAAACAAATCTGGAACAAATTTCCAGAAAACTACAAAACTGCTGAAACACTGACTTCCTTTAAATGAAGGCAAAAAAACACAGCACCTGCTTAGAGTTGCCTTTGATTAGTAGTAACTGGAACATTGAAAAGTATATTTGTTTGATTTTGATGAAATGTAATGTTTATTTTTGGTTTCATAGATGGTTGCTGTGTGATATTTTTACGACGTAAACCACTGTGACCAGCCGTGTTACAAAATAAACATGACTTGATTTGTGAGGGTGTATCAATACATTTTTGAGCTTGTATGCATAATTTATATAGGTTTGAATGTGGGGAAAAAATGTACAACACATTCAAACTTATGCATCTAATTCTTACTTTAGAAATGAATTCATTTTTCCACACTGGAAAATGTTTGAATCAAACACATAATTAAAAACCCGAACTAAATAATATATTCATGTTGATTATGAATATTCATAAACTTCTCAATGACACTGCAGGTAAATTACATCCCTCCTCATATCGTCCCCATTTATTGTATTTTTTCTAGCATAAAAAGCTGGGGGGGGGTTTTTTGGCCACTTGAGGGCAGCAAAAGCGTGTCCAAACACCCCACCTATTTTTAATGGGAACCCGCTGATGTTGTTCAATAACCTTTCACTTTTAACAGTGTAAAAATGTTCTGTGCAGACATTGTTGGGTGCCAAGTCGTTTAAAACATGAAATTCCTCTAATCTCTCACCTTCTCGCGTAATTATACAACGCCTCTTTTCTTTCCTGGAGAGACATGTGTCTGTCAGCTGGCGATCTCCCAAACGTTTTGGCAGCAGGCTATGGAGAGGAAAGGTAAAAGCTTGAACCGCAGTAGTCAAATAATAATTTGGACTTCCCAGGATTTTGAATACATATGAAATTTGTTCTACCACGTAAAAGTTGGGACAGATTACAGCATCCACTTATATCTGGGCTGCAGGTCAAAGTCCACAGACCAATCTGAGACAACTCCAACTCACAATTTAGTACTTAAAGGGACAGTTTAGGATTTTTGGTGTGTTGTTCTGCTAAACGGATATCAGCAGTGAGTATCTTACCTGCAGAAATTGAGTGCAAGTCCAGATTTAAGGCAACCAGGAAGTACAAGAGGGGACATAAGACAATGCTCATCTCAACAACATCACAGCAGTTTGTATGAACACTATTTCTATTATTTATTTTTACATCGCTTTAGTTTCATTCTTAGTACACGTTTTTCCATTTCCTGTGAAAATAATCTTTTTTTTTCTGGGTAAAGTACCGCCCGATGCCAACATCATGACAATCCAAAGATCCTTTAGGCATAAACCGCCATGATGTTTGTGAAACTGAAGTTGTTTCAGGACGTTGTTGGAAGTCCTTTCTGATCTCATCCCCTCTGGCACGAGGCGTTAGCGTCAGATTCTGGGACTAGCTGATCTAGATTTATGCTAAATGAAGAACCAAGAGGCCCAAATTTATTCAAGCCACTGCCAGATTTGAAATTATTTTTAACCAACTAAGATTTGTCTCTGACAGGAGGTGAGACAGGAATGTCCTAAAACACAATACAATGTAAAAAAAGAAAGAAATCATGTTGATTATTTACGCCCTTCTTAGAAACTTCCTAGGCATTAAAGCAGTCAAACCTTTCTTTTAATGGATGACCAGCAGTTCAACGTATTCTGACAAGTTAACTTCGGTAATGACCTTCAAGTCTTTGAGGTTGTAAGGATTTGTTGTCATTACCAACTCTGTTGCAAAGTAAATTTTCAGATACACAAAAAAAAAGAAAAAAAAAAACATTAAAAAAAAAAAGCTGGAACTCGTAGGACAGTTTTTTTTTTTTTTTTTTTTAAAGATCGGTGCATTGCTGCAACAAAGATGTTGGTCAAATTGAAAAATTAATTTAAACCTGAATTTGTCAGGGATAACCGCTTTTTAGACGGCAGACAATTTTATGATTGTAACCTAGAGTCAAAGAGAAGTCTAGGTTACAAGAGGTCAGTGAAGGCAGCATTTTGAATGGTCGAACCTTTATGGCAGGAGAGGATCCAGAAGGGAAGGAGCTGATCCTGGAGGCTCCGTATGCTGACGTCTCAGTAGCTTCCATCGACGCTTCCTCTCGGTTCTCTAGCAGGTTTGTTATCGTGGTGTCAACACAGTTGGTTTTAGCTGGAAAAACAAAAACAAAAAACCACATGATTCTACCCTAGTTTTTCTTGATTAAATTTCTGTGATGAAAAAGTGATGCATTGTTGTGCATCTGATGTTACATATTCACCATTTTAAGGTTTCGTAAAACCTCAACATTTTCTGAGAGTGTACTCGCTTTTCAAGATGAATGGATGTGTTAACCACAAACCGTAAGGAGTATTAAAACCGGTCCGTACCTAAATCCCTTGTAATGACACCGATTGGGACGTGTGGCAGCACATCCTTCACCTGCTGGGCCATTTTAGCGATCCGGTGGTCATCTGAGCCCAGACTCTGGGCCATGAAGCCCAGCCCGATGGAGCCAGATGTGGCACCTGCAGAAAACAAAACGCCGCCACTTAAAGAGTCCCAAACTGTGAAATGTCCCACACGGGCAGATCGTCCAAAACAGCTCATTTACTTACTTGTAGTCGATTGTGGTACTGAATGTCTTTTCCTCTTAATGTGCTCTGCTTTATCAGCTTTAGTAATCTTGGTGGAGACCAGCCCCAGTTCGATAGCGAGAAGCTGAGCAAGACGACACACATTAGAGTTAAAAGAGGAAAAGAGAGCCAAACAATAAGAAAACAGACTAAAATTATTTTTGAAAAAACTAGCATTCTCAGATTCAAAGAAATGTGCAACTGGGTAGAATATTTGTTCTAGGTTTTCTGTCAAGGGGATATCATACAAAATATTTACAAAATATGCCTAAATATTTGTGCATCGTGAAAAAAAAAATACTATTTACAAGAGAATGGAGAAGCTGTGCAAATAATCGCAATGTTTGTCAGCAGCTGTCATGGCGAAAGAGTCTAACAGCTTCTGAGAGGAAGGATCTGCAATGACACTCCTTTGTGCACCAGAGACGCAGCAGTCTGTCGCCAGCTGCATGTCATCCAGCCAACTGACAATAAATTCATATCTAGCCAAAGAGAAGTCCCTCGAGAAAAAACCTATGAGATTAAATGGTCCTGCCATGACA